TCTTTCATCACTTTGAATATATCAACCTACTACGTTTTGGCTTCCAAGGTTTCTGATGAGAAATCTGCTGGAAATCTTATTTGGGAATATGTGATGAGTTGCTTCTTGTTTTCAAGGTTCTCTTTGTCTTTGGACAGCTTGATTATATGTGTTGCAGTGCGGATTTTTTTCCATTTATCCTAGTTGATGTTCATTATGCTTCTTGGCCTGCCTATATTCATGTCTTTCTTTCATCAAATTTGGTAAGTTTTCAGCCATTATTTCTTCAAGAACTATCTCTGCCCATTGCTTTCTGTCTTCTAGGACTCTCAAAATATATATGTTGGTCTGCTAAATGTCCCACAGTTCCTTTAGGCTCTGTTCAGTCTTCTTCAATCTTTTTCTTTCTGTTCCTTAAATTGGTAATTTCAGTTGAGCTATACTCAAATTAGCTGATTCTTCTGCTTACTCAAATCTGCTTTTAAGTCCCTCTAGTCAGTTTTCATTTTAGTTATCATACTTTTCAGGCCCAGAATTTCTTTTCTGTTTCTTTTTGTCTCCCTATCTCTTTATTTCCATTTTGTTCATGCATCATTTTTATGACTTTGTCCACATCCTTTTTCTGAATGTCTGTTTGAGCTGTTTGAGTGTCTTTAAGGCACTTATTTAAATCGTTTTGCGTAAAAAGTCCACCATTTGGTCTTTCTCAGGGATATTTTCTTTTTTTGGAGGTTGTTTTTAAAGTGGAGATTTGAATCTTATAACATAGAAATCTGAAAGTCAGATTCTCCGTCTTCCTTAGGGTTTGTTGTTTGTCTGTTTGTTTGTTTATATGGTTTTTATTTTTTTCATAAAATATTATTGATATACACTGATGAAGGTTGCACATGAAAAAACAATGTGGTTACTACATTCACTCATATTACCAAGCCCCCCCCCAATACCCCATTGCATTGCAGTCACTATATGGTTTTTCTTTTTGATTGTTATATGTTGTCTCTGTGCCAAGATCATCCTGAGGTGTAAATGTGAATTTCCTCAAATATTTTTCTGAATCTGCATCTTTTCTTCTGATATATGTGGTTGCTTCTGAATATTTCAGTCCTTAAATGTCTGCTTCCCAAAAGAGAAAAAAGGCAAAGACAGAGGGGGAAAGAAATTGGCACCAGCCCTTTTAATACCCTGGAAATCTGGTTAGTTGGAGGACGAAGGATTTGTAACAATGGCAGTGGGCCTTTCAACAGTGGCTTCCCACCTCTGTGTCTTCACCTCATGATCAGAGGCAGCAACTACACATCAGAACACAGATTCCCAGAATTTGGAGCACAAGATTTTTATTGCCCACTCTGGCTCCTACAAACTGAATGTAAGCTGCTCCATGAACGTGTGTAAGGCTGCCTGCTATGGGACTAGCGCTGTTTTGTGGTAGTCTCCACCTACCTAAGAGCTGAAATCAAAATTAACCATAGTTTATCTTCCAATTTAATTTCCTGGAAATTACCAACCTTAAATAGACTCCATTACATCAGACAAATTCTGAAGGTGTAATTGTTATCTTGGTAGGACACAATCCTAATCACCTTTGAAAGTTCCATTATTTTCTGGCAAGATGTACCAGACTCTAAACATCTCCTGAATATAAGCATGAGCAACTTCTTCCTGAACCCATCTCCTCGAGAAAGGGAAACAAAAGCAAAAATGAACTCATGAGACTACCTTAAACTAAAAAGTTTTTGTACGGCAAAGGACATCATCAACAAAACAAAAAGGCATCCTACAGTATGGGAGAATATATTTGTAAATGACATATCCAACAAGGGGTTAACATCCAAAATATATAAAGAACTTACATACCTCAGCACCCAAAAAGCAAATAACCCGATTAACAAATGGGCAGAGGATATGAAGAGATGGCTCTCCAAAGAAGAAATTCAGATGGCCAACAGACACATGAAAAGATGCTCCACATCGCTAATCATCGGGGAAATGCAAATTAAAACTACAATGAGATATCACTTCACACCAGTAAGGACGGCCAGCATCGAAAAGACTAAGAACAACAAATGTTGGCGAGGATGCAGAGAAAGGGGAACCCTCCTACACTGCTGGTGGGAATGTAAGCTTGTTCAACCACTGTGGAAAGCAATATGGAGGTTCCTCAAAAAATTAAAAATAGAAATACCATTTGACTCTGGAATCCCACTCCTTGGAATATACCCAAAGAATACAACTTCTCAGATTCAAAAAGACATATGCACCCCTATGTTCATTGCAGCACTTTTTACAAAAGCCAAGATATGGAAGCAACCTAAGTTTCCATCTGTAGATGGATAAAGAAGATGTGGTACATATATACAATGGAATATTATACAGCCATAAGAAGAAAACAAATCCTACCATTTGCAGCAACATGGATGGAGCTAGAGGGTATTATGCTCAGTGAAATAAGTCAGGCGGAGAATGACAAGTAACAAATAATTTTACTCATTTGTGGAGTATAACAATGAGGCAAAACTGAAGGAACAAAATAACAGCAGACTCAGAGACTCCAAGAATGAACTAGTGGTTAAGAAAGGGGAGGGGTGTGGGAGGGCAGGTGGGGAAGGAGGGTGAAGGGGATTGAGGGGTATTATGTTTAGTACACACAGTGTGGGGGATCACACAGAGAACAGTGTAGCACAGAGAAGGGACATAGTGGATCTGTGGCAACTTGCTGCACTGATGGACAGTGACTGCATTGGGGTGTGGGTGGGGACTTGATAATATGGGTAAATGTAGTAACCACATTGTTTTTTCATGTGAAACCTTCGTAAGAGTGCATATCAATCATACCTTAATAAAAATTAAAAAAAAAAAGATGTACCAGGCTCATTTATTGCTGCCTTGTTATAGACTTGTAGTCAGGAAATTCTCTTCCTTTTAGTGAGAAATGGAATTGGAGACCAAAATGTGAGCTTGAAGATGCTGTGAGTTTGTATAGAATATTTCGTATTTAAATTTTGGTGTTTTTACTTCTCTGAAGTAAATTCTTCCAAAAAGAGAATTTTCACTTATGCTGGAAATCCCACTTTCTCATATTATTTTAAAACCATTTTACTGTGAAAAATAGTACTCAGAAAAAGTGAATATAAGTGCATAGGTTAATGAATTATTAGAATGAAAAGACTTTGTGAAACACTACCACCACCACAGTAGTGCACCTTATCACGTTACCCCATGCCCCCCCTCCCCCAATATAACTTGTAACCTATTGTCTGGACATAACTTTTTGGATTCCTCTATTTCTGTTTATGATATTCCTGTAATTGGAGTAAAGGCTGCAGTTGCTTTCTTAAGTTCTGCTTTCTTTCTTTTTCTTAAGCTTGTGTTTGAAATGTTAGTTTTTCCTTGATCTGCGGCAGCATTTTTCAGGTGGATTTGCTTTTTCTCTTGAGAAATTACAATCTTTGATTTCTTTTTTCTTTCTTTGTGTATAACTTTATTTCGTTAGTGTAAATGATTAGATGTGGAATTGCTGTATAAATGGTACATAAATGAGTTATAAAAAGTAATTTACACTTCAGTCTTCTCCAAACCTATGGCTTCACTAATCAAAGTTCCTTGCCTAAGACTATTTGGTCCCTTAAAGTGCTATTACTCACTTCAGAACTGCTCAGGGTTCTTGTAAGTGTCTGAAATGATTCACAGTTACTTTCTGAGGTTTCACTTTATCTTGGAAATCATACTGGCTGATTCCTTTATAGCTGACTCCAAGCCCCCAAGGAAGTCCTTGTTGATCCTTTACTGCATAATAACGGGCATCATAAGTCAGCAGAGCTTCTACTATTTTCATATAGTGAACCACAGTTTCTCCTCAAGCCCATCTTTGATATTCACATAATCTTCAATCACTCAATCATCACAGTAAGCAAGGCATTGATGCTCCTGAAGAGTTTTGGTTGGAAAGGCTGGTAATATCTTTAAATCTTTTCTGGCATTTTGATCACCAAGGCCCTGCAGTGAAGTGACACTAGGTCTAGAGGATCAGTTGATTGACTGGTTCTTGGGACTCTGAGTCTGACCTGTTGGATGGGAAAAAGAGGATGTGGAGGAGGGAACAGGAAAGCTGGGGCGGAGTAGACATAATCTTCAATTTCTATTTTGATGTTTTTGTATCTTTTATGGATACATACTACTTACATTTTCCTCTTGGAATGGATTTGTCTTCTCTGGACCTTCCCAGCACAGGAGTGGGTGGGATGGCTTTCCCAGTTTCTCAGCTCAAGAGGTCATTCTCTACTACTACAGGAATGGACAGCTTTAAAATATATGATTCTTGGATGCTATCCTGTTTCAAGAGAGTCTACTACCAGTTTCTTCTTTTCTTCCCTTCACAGCAGTGACCCATCAAAGGTACTGCCCCTGGCTTCTAAGACAGCGTCCCCCCCCCCCCACTTTTAAAAAGTCTGCCTCTTTTCCTTATCTCCTCCGGTTTGATCTCAGACCTGTCCACAGCATTTTCCACTTAGGTTGAGACCTTCTTCAATAGGTAGATATTTTCAGAGGGTTTCTAACTTTTGCTGAAGCCAGAACCCATCTGAGGCGTCCATTCTTCTACCTTTGTGGCTTTCTGCACCCATTTTGCTGGTTTGCGATGTTCCTTCACCTTCATTCACACTTTAATATAATCTGGAGTGTGAGAATTTTCTTGGAGTTTTGAGGAGTGTGAAGGTTTTCTTAGAATTTTATTAAAGGTCTGTAGGTTGTGGAATATATTATTCGTTCTCTTTGTAGCATTTTATGAAATAAAAACAAAAAAAATGCCAAGGAGGAAAAATAGTATGAGTCACATCTAGCCTTCCCCCATGCTCCTGTCTGTCAGCCCTGCCTCTTAGAAAGCCCAATGTGCACAATGACCTGAAGGCAGGATAACTCAGTCAAGAGGTGATGGAGGCCTAGGGTGAGGTGTGGAGATGAGGAGGGACTTATGAAGCAGGATTTGAACTAGGGTGAATTTCACCTTTCTCTCCTCTCTGTCCAAGGATACTGAGAAGTCAGTGTCCTTGGACATGTTTCCATCTTCTGGAAGCAGCGGAGTGCACACCTCTTGGAACCATGGCCCACCAGGTGTTCGCTTTCCTCAGCGCACAGAGCTGGAGAGGGTCCCCGTGGTCTCTGCTGAGACACCCAGGCAGAATGCAAGTGAAATGGGGCCATGGTTTAGCATGTTGCTGCCTGAGCTTGGTGTGAACTACTGCCCTCAAGTGACTGTTACTGCTTCCCCGATCATTTACTCTCAGGGAATATCTTCCTCCCAGCCACAAATGATGATTTTCAAGGGGCCCCAGACAATGCCTTCAGGATACCCCAGTATTCAGGGGATGGGCCATGACGTTCGGTGAGAGTTTAAGGGTGGCCCCCAGCAGGTTGCCAATGTCAGCTCCCAGTGGCATCCCAATGATGTCTCACATCGAGGTACTAACAATGCCTTATTCCGGCCCCCAAGCAGTACCTTTTAACAGACACTCTTTAACACCTGAAATGTTATTGGCCCAACCATGCCTTCTACTGAGGCCCAGGCAGTGCTCCCTCCTTTGGCTCATATGTTACCTTCTACCAATCCCCATGACTTTGGGATGCCTCCAACTGGTTTCCCATCACTGCAGGCTTTAGAATCCCAGGACTCTGTGAGCCAGCCAGCTTCCCAGGAAGACCCCTTCCTACCTGAGCAGCCTATACCTGTTCCATGTAAAGCACAGCAGAACTCCACGGCCCAGGAAAGGGCTCCCAGGAGGAGACCCCCAATCTCAAGGCCTTACTGCTGCCAGCATGAGCGCTGTGGAAAAGCTTATACTAAACGCTTCCACCTCCGGAGTCGTGAACGCTAACACACAGGTGAATGAGGTATCGGTCGGGTGGGGTGGGACGGGGGTGGAGCCATGTCTGGTCTTCAGATTTGTGCTGGGCTGCTGCTTTGTAATGCTCTTGGATTAGCCCATCGCCTTTCAAACTTGGGATTGAGTTGTGTGGGCCCCCGACCTGCCTTAACACAGGCCGGTTTGTGCCAAGGTGACCGGGATTGCTGATTGTGTTGCCTCCTCACCGCTTGCCTATTTTTCCTTTTGATTCCTCAACCTTGATTGCTCTGCCTTGTACAGTCAGACCCCTTCCTTTCCACATGCTGGCCTGTGCCTCTACTTAATTCTCTCTTCCTTGTCACCCAACTCTGCAGGCGAGAGACCCTACAAATGCATGGGGGAAGGCTGTACATGCTGGTGAGGAGGTCTCCTGTGGAGCTGGCAGCCACTCCTGCCGGGCTGCTCAGGCTGGTTGGCAAGCAGGACCCGGACTGCTCCCACCCGGCATGATGCCCAGTTCTTCCCTGCTTCCCTTTTCCCAGGCTCAGTGCCCTAGGTTTGCACCTCCCAATCAAACATGAGTACTTAGTTCTTGTTTTAGGTTCTGTTCTCTAGGCGTCTTGGGGGTAGGGGAAATTAGACTGGGGCAGAGAAGGACGAACCTCACTATAACACTGAGGGCAGGTGCCTGGACTACCAAATACCAGGTGTTTAAGGGCCTGTCCTGCCCTGCTCCTCCCCTAGGGTTGAGGGCATAATGACTATATCCTGACAACCCAGCCAGGTAGTTCAGAACCTCGCTTCTCGATTTTAACCCTTACACCGACCAGCAAACTCATAGAATGGAACTTGCCCAAGCTCTCAGATGCCAACTATGATCAGTCTCCTCCAGAGAGAACCAGACTGGGCATGTAAGATGTGTCCCTGCCAGTTCACTACTGTTTTTCTCATTTACCAGAAGAGGAGACATGGCATAGAGATCACCTAGGCGCAGTGACCATGGGAGGAGGTGCACCTACAAGGGAAGGTTAGAAAGAGTTTGGGGGAGGTGACCCTTGAGCCCAGTCAGCAGATGTATCTGTTACCTAGTAGTCCCTCAAATGTTGAAATAAACTGAGCAGGTGAATGAAGAGGAAAGAGAATTTCAGGCAGAGAGAGAGAACTGGCCTCGGCATCCGCTCGGAGGAGAGTCAGCCCTCAAGCCTCTATTCACGCAACGAATGTTCTTTGAGCCGACAATGCAGAGAGCGCCGTGGCTGTGAGGGCACCCTGTTGGGGAACAGAGAGACAGTGGAGGGCTGTGTCAGGGAAGCAGACTTCTCCAGGAGGTGCCCAAGTGAGCCCTGAAGGGTTCCTGGGCATTAACTGGACCTCCCATTCCCTGGACATCTACACTTTTTCACACCTTGTGCTGGACGCTAAGGACTCAGAGCATGAGGGTTCCTTGCTTGCTGTGGAGCAGAAACATCACAGGTGAAACTTGAGGAAACACTCCACACTGCTGACGAGGCTCAAGCTCATGCCAGCTATCTAGGCAAGTTTAACTTGGGGACTTGGGTGTGCTTCAGCCCTGTACAGTGTGGCCACCTGAGTCCCTTCCCCTCGTGCCTTCCACATAGACTTCTGGGCATCCGGGTGCCCAGACTCCTGGAAGGAAGTGGGTGAAATAAAAAATAAGGGCAGGGGGTGCTCATTTTTTACCCTGTTACTGGCCCCAGTGACTGAGGATTCAAGTACTTGAAGTCTCTTTGATTCCCACCTGGGTGCCAGGTCCCTTCTGTGGGGCAGAACATGTCAGACTCAGTGGCCCAGGGCGAGGTTCCTTTCTGGGAGGCAAGAGAACAGTCTGTTGGTGACCCATCACTGTCTCTGAGGAACGGAAGGGGGAGGATCCACTGGGCACGGTTGCACTGTGTGTACTACAGTGGGTAAAACAGGCTCTTGCCCTTGGGTAGGTCACAGTCTAGTGGAGGAGGGATGAGAGGAATGTGCTCTAACGACAAACATCAGACACTTGGTGAAGTGGTCCAAGGGGGCTACGAAGGCCTTTCTTGGGAAGTGTGGTTTGAGCTCAGGTAAGGACTAACCAGGAGAAAGGCAGATAAAGGAGGTGAGCGGGTGATTGGAAGAAACCAGTCTCTCCTTTCCCCGGTGATTGCCCTAAAGCGGGCCTTAGCTAAGCCTTTCCTTCCCAGTATCACCTAGTTCAGCACAGGTCAGGATAGGGGCTGGGTAAGACATTTGTGTGACCAGTAGATTTTGAATCCTGCCTCTGCCGCTTCCTGGCTGTGTGGCCTCGGGCAGTGTACTCGCTCTCTGCTTCAGACAGCAGTGGAGAAAACGGATATAAGTCAAGTGAAGAGAGAGAGAATTAAGTGCACTTCAAAATGGTTCTTGAATGCTCCACATCGCCAGTCGTCAGAGAAATGCAAATTAAAACCGCAATGAGCTATCGTCACCTCACACCAGTAAGGATGGCCAACGTCGGAAAGACTAAGAACAACAAATGCTGGCAAGGATGTGGAGAAAGGGGAACCCTCCTACACTGCTGGTGGGGATGTAAATTAGTTCAAACATTGTGGAAAGCAGTATGCAGGTTCCTCAAAAACTCGAAATAGATATACCATTTGACCCAGGAATTCCACTTCTAGGAATTTACCCTAAGAATGCAGCAGCCCAGTCTGAGAAAAGACAGATGCACCCCTATGTTTACTGCCACATTATTCACAATAGCCAAGATATGGAAACAACCTAGGTGTCCATCAGTAGATGAATGGATAAAGAAGAGGTGGCACATAATACACAATGGAGTTATTATTCAGCCATAAGAAGAAAACAAATTTTATCATTTGCAACAACATGGGTGGAGCTAGAGGGTATTAAGCTCCGTGAAATAAGCCAGGCGGAGAAAGACAAGTACTGAATGATTTCACTCATATGTGGAGCATGAGAACAAAGAAAAACTGAAGGAACAAAACAGCAGCAGAATCACAGAACCCAAGAATGGACT